TGGGGGAGCGGCTGATCTGGCCTGGCCACGACGTTGGCATTGGTACGTTCGCTCAGACCCGGGAAAAAGGGAGGGACTAGCGAATTCAGCGAGTTGCAAGCAGCTTAAAGGTTTTGACACAAAGATAAGAACATGGTCAAAAGGCAAGAGATCTTGCCTTCTTATGGAAAACCTTGCAAGAGCTCAACAAAAAGCCAGTACAGCCCGCGGTAGCTTGGAGACAACCCGTGAGAAGTCGGTGCATGTGGAGGAGGACATCAGGTCCGGGAGCCCGCCCTGCTCGCTGGCAGCTGGTGATGCACAAAAGTGTCATCATCCAGCCTGTAGATCCAACCGCGTTTAGGTGAAGCTTACATTACTCTTTTTGGTTTTATATGTGGCCTTATCTGTGCAGCCAAAGCGGTCAGGAGCGGGTGCAAGCCCTGGACTCTGCTGTCCTCAAAACTTCCCAAAACTGCTCTGCGACAGGAGGTTTGGACATGGTTGTCCACAGGCAGAGTTTTACTCAGAGGTGACAAATAAGCAGGATATCCTTAGCAGGACAGCCAAACCCACCTTATTAAACATGATCCAGCCCCGAGGGCAATGGGATGCGATGCGCCTGCCGGAGCTGAGCCAGCAGCAGCGAATTTTGCTGATGACCGTGCAGGATGGAGGCAGCTCGGTCCCGTTTGGCAGAACAGGATGTTACAAATCACAGCCAGCTCCTGAACAGCCTAGGAAGAATTGCCTCCAGCACATCTCTGCTGCTGCTTTTCGGGAGCGTGGTGGCAGCCCCTCTCCTTGCCAGGCCACCCAGCCCAGGGCTGCCAGCCCCTTCCCCTCACGGGGTAACGAACGGCACTGATCACGGCCAGCTGACATCCAGTTTCCTAATCCAGCTCCCACACCAGCTGCTCCTAATGCACGAGGGATGCCAAAATGAGCTGGAGCCGCTGAATTTGGAGCAAACCTCCCCCCTACCAACCCAGCATCGGTGGGCTAGATAGGGTGAAAAGGAGCGCAGGGTTCGCGTGGCTGCACGGGAGCAGCCCTGCATTGCAGGCTTCGGTGACGAGGGGCAGACAAATGCCTCCAGCCAGCTGCGGAGGCTGTAATCCCACCTGCTCTCCGAGAGCCTCGCTCAATCTATCAACATCACCGAGCTCTTAATTTTCGCTGCAGTTCTACTTCCTATTTTAAATAGCACAGTCTAACAGAAGCAGCACGTCCCAAGTGATGAACCAGCGTTTTTACCCTGCAATTCCCTATTTACCTACTTTTAACTACAGCATCTTCTCTTGATCTTTATCTGATGAGAGAAATCTCTTTCCACTGGGAATCAGGTGATAAGCATTTCATCTCCTACTTCCGTTTTCTTTGGACTCCTGCATCACTAGCTTTGCCATCAGTCGCTCTGTGCCGGGTTAGGAACAAAACACATTCATGCCACAGTTTGTTACCTAGTTTAAAACAGTTGCCTTTGGCCCTAGGCGATTTCATAGTCATTTCTTAACCTGTGAGCACAAATCAAATGGCTAATCTCTATGTTAAACATACCTGGTAATGACTGTATAATTACGTTGCTTGGACAGCACATGGAAGATGTGAAAACACCCAAGTTTTGCACATAAAGTCATAGGAAGGAAAAATAACTTTTCATTTTTCTCGCCTTCGCTAAAGATCGCAAACCGAATTTTCCCCATGTTGCTGAGGCATCTCAGGCTAGCTTTCGCCCCTGGCCCGGGGCTCCTAGAAGAGCCTCGGGAGACCGTCCGCCTTACCCAGAGGCAACATGCACGCACAGGAGCAGGGGACGAGCCCACGTCCTGGAGATGTGGGTGATGTTCTTGGGTCTTCAGTGACTTGAGAAAGTCGCTTTTAACCACTCTCTAGCCTGTTGGATGGGGCTGATGTTAATTTCCCCTCCATCACTTCACAAAATGCTGAGGGTCTGGGAATAAGACGTGATGCCTTCTACACTTCCCTCTACCTTTTAGATATAATAAATTGTTCTTTTTTAAAAAAAACAGCAAAAGAGTGAATATAAGATGCAACTTTCTTTGCCTTCTGTTGTGATTCTGAATTATTGGGGGCTACCTGTGGCATTTCCTAGTGTCTCGGAGGGGCTCAGAGACTTTCTTTCCAGGTTCAGAGTCAGATTGGCCAGGGAGTCTTAAACAGGCTTTAGCTCTCCCTGCCCTCGTTAGCTGTCTGGCACAGTATACCTATATCCGATCCGGGGACACAGGAATCTGTGCACTTTCCCTGTCTTGATCACAGATACGTCTGGGCTTGGACTCAGGCTCTTTTCAAAAAGCAAAGAACCTTAAATATTTGTGCTCAGAAACTTCCAGCCTTTTGCTCCGAACGCAATTCATCTAGAGACTAATTGAAAGCAGTTTTCAGAACAGGTGAAAAGCTGCAGCAGAGACCTCTTTTTTTGACATAAATCTCAAAGAACAATTATCTTATTACAGTTGCTTAGAAAATTTGTCACCCACTTTAAGTGTGGAGATGTCAGAGAGCCTTAGAAATGGTGAAAGCTTTGACTGTTGATACAAAAGAAAGTCATTTTGATTGGCATCTTGTTTTGTCTGAACAGGGGTACTTAATTTCAGATCAGTTTGGGGTGGGGGCTGGGTGCAAACAGACCTAAGGAAACTTTCTGTTTCACTTGGGTCTCAGAGAGAAGATTGTACTGAATCAAAGAGAATTACACCTGGGGTGTAGGAGTAGAAGCAGAGACAAATCAGGGTTTCAAGTCATCCAGTGGGAAACCCCAAGACAAACCCTTTCCTGGCTCCCGGGAACATCGCCCTGGGCAGGGTTTGGCTTTTTGTTCTGAGCTGTTGAGGGTTGCTGCTACCATCTAGAGAGCCTTTCTGCCTGGAGATGTTTGTCCTTCTGAGATGGGGAAGCCACGTGCCGATTTGTGCTCGCCTGGAGAGCGGGGCTGTTAGGCTGGCCGAGGTGAGAAGAGCTGCGGACCTCCAGGGCTGGTGTGTCCTGAGCAGCTGAGGTGGTCCCGTCCAGCCTGACGGTCCACCCACCGCCCGGGGCAAGCTATCTCTGCATGGATCAAACCCTCGGCTGGTGCCACCCCACGCTGGCAGCTCTCAATGGTCTAATTCATGACTCATGACTCTGCGCGTCCACGTTTGTCTTCGGGGCCACCCCTTGCCCAAAACACCGCGCAGGGTAGCAGTCAGACAACAGACGGTGCAGAGGGACCTGTGCAGCGCCATGAGCGCTGGGGCTGTGCTGTCGTATGGCTCGGCCAGCCTGTGGGAGAATACGGTCCCCGAGGCATCGGAGACCTGCACTACGTTGCCGCTGTTTGCACCGAGCGCTGTCACATCGAGCGGCCAAGGCCAACGTGATGTGACACATGGAGCTGGCTTTTCTCTCCCCTCCTTCCTCCTCGCGAGTGGCGCTGGGTCGGGTACCCACCAGAAACAGCTGCTGTGCGACTGCCCGAGGGCGCTGGCTGCGTCACCTCCGGGATTAGGCCGCGTTTATTAGGGCAGCAGTGCGGCACGGTGTTGTGGAGCCAGCTGGCGTTTCGAGTCCCCTCCCGTGCTGGGGCTTGCTAGGTCGCCGTGCTGACAGTGACACTGGCAGAGAGGCAAAACGAACAGAAACGCACCGTTTCCCTCCAGGAGCAAACGTGTGTCTGAGAGTTTTGGTCCCAAAGCTTAAGGATAAAAACCCATTTGCTGTGCTTATATGTCCTCTGAGTTGGCAGACAGATGTTGGTTTTAAAAGCAAAATGAGTTGGCAGGTAAGCTCAGTCTCCAGAGGGACCAAGCCATTCAGCTAATTTCCTCTCTCTTCTAATTTTTTTAATAAAAAGTGGAATACAGTAATCTCTGCATTTTTTAATCAGTAGGTCTGAGAGCAGATAAAAAGAGAAATGTTGGGAAGGAGGAGAAAGTTGAGACAAAAATTTAGCACAGCTAAACACCTCTGTCTTTGCGGGGGCTTTCTGTCCCTTCAGGAAATGTTTGGCTGCTCCCTGGTTACTTGGGCTTTTTGGAGATGGATGCGAGGTTGTCTCGCTCCGGCAGGCTGGTAAGATCGCTCTGACTCCTGTAAAGGCAGCTGGGAAATTTCAGCTGTCATCACTTCCTGAACAGCAGTGTTTGGAGGAACAGCAACCTGATGGGAAAATTGATCTTCTAGCAGGCAAGTTCAGAGCCTGTGCTCTTTCCACATGTTGATGTTGCATGTGAAAATTTGGGAGAGCAAGGCCAGCGCCTTTCCTTCACGCTCAACTTTTGAAGTTTCCTTGTGCTATCCGTGCAGGCCCCCACACAAAGTTGTGCCAGCTTTCCTGCGAGCCCGTTACTGGATGCAGCTGCTGGGCTCAGGTCTGAACAGAGGAGGAGGAGGAGCGAGTGCCTGTCCTCTGGGATTTTAAATCTTTATGTGAATGAGCAAGAAAGACAGTGCTAGATGGCAGTGGATGAGAAACTCCTCCCCGTGGTGCTTTTTGTCTGCTCTTTGGAGAGTGACCTGCCAACAGCTTGTATTGCTCTCCTGGTGCTGTGGTGCAGCAAAGAGAGAGTGCCTGTAGACCAGTAATGCACGATCCTTCTTCAGGGTCATGATCAGGGTTGGCTTGGTGACTGAGAGGATGAACCTGAGGGTCCCTTGATAAGGCAGTGTGACATCAAGGGGGTCTGCAGTAGCAACATTGCTTGTTCTGGCTCTTTGTGGGCAATCTAAAGGTTTTACTTTCTGCCCATGGTGAGAAAAAGGAACTTCTTGTTAGGGCAACCGTTCAGCATTGTGCAAGGCAGAGGGATGCTGGTCTCTGCTGCAAGGCCTCATCCACAGGCATCCCTGGAGCATTCACTGCATTATGGGAAAATTCATAAGGAGGACTTGCTTTCCGCCTGTTCACTGGGAGCATTAGCATTAGTGGTGCTAATGATGTCTGCTGAGAGAGAGCCTGAAGTCCGCCAAATGAAGCTCAGTTTGTTGGTCTTGTTTTCCTTGTGTCAGCACCCGCCTACCATTGCTGGTTGCTGAGTGCATCAAGCACTGCCATGGCTTGACAGTTGTGTCAGTAGCTGTGTCAGTCAATATGGGGAGGACAGGTTAGCTCTCGGGGGTCTTATGCAGGAATGTACTCTGCAGGTTTCTCAACAGTGAGGTTCCTTGCCCGTGTGCCAGCGTGCTTTTTTGGAGAGGAGGTGGTTCCCATCTTGCTCTTCTGGTTGAGGCTCTGTCCTGCCGAGGGCCGTAGGAGATAGGCCGCATGAGGGGCTGAAGCACAGTTTCCCTTGCAATGCTGTGATTAGCAGCAGAGAGGATAAGCCCAAATAGAAATTACTGCACTGTAGGCAATAATCTGACCCGATGCAGCCTCTCAGAGCCTCTCAGGGAGGTGTGGGGCAGAAGGAACAGCACCGAGGCAGTGTGCGGCACTCTGCATGCACCTCCAGGCCCCTGGGAGCAGCTGGGCAGCACCTAGAGCAGCTGCTGGGCTGCTCTGACATGCTGGAGCGTAAAATCTCCTTGTGTGGGTTGGGAAGCACCGAGCCCAGAGTGCCTCCTTCTCCTGCAGCCTGCAGAGGAGGCTGCCACACGTTGGGAATGTCCAGGTAGATTTCCCCCTCAGTGCCCCGTCATGATCCCTAGGTGCGAGGCTCGGACGTTAAGATGGACATGGCACGGTCAGGAGATGACAAGACATCATGGGTCCCTGCTCGCTGCGAGGACCTGACTCTGGGTGCACAAGTATGGATAGCACCGAGAGGAGCCTGGGGCCCTGCTGGGCAGTCTTTGATGTAATTTTCTCTGCATAAAACACCTCTTAGCTGCTGGATGCATAAAAGAAGTTTTCATCCCATGTCGGTGCTCTAGGGCTGATGCCATTTCAACTAGGTACTGAGCTTCCCTGGAGCTAGGGACTAAAAACAGTCAAAAGAAAAAAAAAAAGTTAAAATTATTCCCATTAAGCCTTGAAATCAAATGGCAACAGACCTCTTGTTGTCCAGGTGCTCCAGCGTACAAAAATATGGAACTTTTCTGTGGCTTGAAAACCAAACGGGCACAGGTGCCTTGCGCTGAGCAGCAGAAACGTTGCTGGCCGAGGGCCGTCCGTCCAGCGCCGATGCCCTCCCGTCGCGGTGCGGGGTGGGCGAACGCCGTGGTCCGGTCTCCCTCTAGCGGCTCGCTCCGCGGCTCTGGCAGCCCAAGGAGAAAGAGGGCTCCGGGAGCCCGGCAGAACTCGGGGGTCCCTGGAGGTGAGGGCTTCCGGAGCTGCGCCCCAGCCGGCGCGTGGGAGGGGAGTCGGACGACAGGGAAACTGGGCAGGTCACCGCAACGAGCTGTCAGTTTGCTGACTCTAGCAGAGGCTTTTAAGCATTTCTGTTAATAGGTTTCAAACATAACCACCATTAGTCCTTCCGCAAAGAGAAAGTCTTCATTATGCAAATTCTCATCTTAACGCTTTATTCATGTGCTTCCTGGCAGGCTTTCCTTTAATCTCAAGAGCAAGATTGCTTGGAATTACCATATACCCTTGTTAATTGCATTAAAAAAATACAGCAGAGGTTGTTTTTGCCATAATCAAGAGTGATTTTGATTAGTACTTCTGGAAATCAAAATGCTTTACTGAAAATGGAGAACGAGGACAGCAGCATTGCATAGTCCCCAGCAAGAAGATGGGGCTATCCCAGTAAGGGCAGCTATCCCAGCACGAGCTCTGGCAGCTGCATCCTGCTGCTCTCAGTCGCGTTGTGCACCAGCCTGTGCTGATGTGCCCAGCGGTGCAAGCCCGTCAGTCGCACTACAGCGCGGGAGGAGCACTGGCGGTAGTGGCGCTGTCATACGTTTCTTCCCTGCTTTGCTTCCAGGCAGACCTTTCCTTGCGTGGGAGGAGGTTGGGACCCTGCTCTCCCCGCGTGGCCGTCTTGCGTGAAGGGGCAGCATCCTCCCATCATTTATATCCCCGGGAGTCTGTATTCCCTGGCAGCTTGCGGAAAGCGGGATCCAGATTCTGGCACAACCCAGCAGGTGAACATCCAGGGGAAGTTAACAGTTTCCTTTCCAAGGCAGGAAATTTCAGGGGGAAAGCTGTGTTGAAGAGAGAGCCTTGGCAGCTCTTTGGAGAGAAGTTCAGCTCCTCTGAGGTTGTCGTTTCTGGCAGCGCTGCTCTTGGAGCTGCCCTCACGGACCGAACGTGACACCCCAGCTCTGGGGAGATCTGCTGTGCCCCTCGCATGGGTAGTGCTGTGCTCCAGGCTCGGGAGCCAGCGAGCACTGGGCACCCCGGCAGGATAAAGTCGCCGTGCGCAGGCGCTGCAAGCATCAGAGAAACACGGAGCTGCTCTCCTGCCGGGCACAAGCCCTGCGTGAGGACCCGCTGGCCCCGCGGAGGGATGAACCTGCTTTCTCAGCCCAGTGCCAGCCTGCTGCTCCTTTTCTTTACCCTTGTCTTTACATTCAGACTTCAAACTGACAGGCCCAAGTGGGTGCGAGCGTGGACGCTGGTGTCCGTCCGAGCCGGGCTGCAGGCAGGAGAGCTGCCCGTGAAGTCAGACACCTTACTCAGTAAAAACAAATGGGCCCAGGAAACACACGGAGCCTGGGAGGTATGTTTTTAGAAGAGATCTCTTCCCATTAATTTTAAAGCAAAATCCACATGGACCGGGGTGCACACCCAGAGAAACCCCCCAAAGCCAAGCGCAGGATGCTGAATATCGCAGGTCCCGCAGAAGGACGGGGCGTTGCGGAGTGGGGACTGCGACCTGTCATGCAGAGGTATCCTAGGTATTAGATAAGACGTGGGTGGCAGGAGCACAAAGAATTTCAAAGGGTTGGAGCCCAGGTGCAAGGCGCTGCCCGTGCCGGTCCCTACAGCATCATCCTCACAAGTGTGAGATACTTAATCGCAGCATCTGGTGCGCTGTGCACAGCATGGGTAAAAAACAGCCTCGGGGAGGGCACTCTCCCCACCGATCCTTGGAGTTTTGTCTTTGCTGAGACAGTGGGAAAATTTGTCCTAACAGCGGAGTCCAGCAGGTAGCACGGCAGTGACGCTAGCACAATGCAGACCTCCGTGCCAGCTCCACCACGCTTGAGCATCCAGGACAGTGGCTGAATCAGCAGTGTTTTCACCCAGACAGTGCAAGCCCACTCTGCTCTGCCCAGAGCCACAGCTCAAAACCCTCCATCCTCACCTTCCTCTGCTGGGTGCCACAGCTGGAGGGCAAGGGCTTTTGCACTCTCTGACTCAGTACCTAAATTAAGAGGTGGGTCACTGGGGAGATACTGGTGCTTTCACCACTGCTTGGCACAAGCTTTCCTCCTTCCCTCCCATCCACTGACTGGCGCATTACACCTGAGTTAGGTGCATAAACTCAGGCAACTTGAATTACTCTCGCCTGCCCTAGTATCTGCTTTGCATTCTCCCTTAATCTCCTGGGCTGTCAGTCTAGTACCTTCACAAGCTCTACATTCCCAAGGAAGCAAGACACATATATACTTGCACAGAGAGATATGTAGGCTTGCACTAGAAATGGAATACCTCTCCTAATATTGCATGCGGCCTAACAATGTACTAGGTGTGAATTATGATACTATAATTCGAGCTTTGTCAAACAGTGGGGCTTAATTAGAATATATATATAATTGTGAAGACTAAAAAGCTGACGAGTACAATTGCACATTTGAGCTGCCTGCTACAGAAAATAATGAGGAAAGAATACATTAAGGCACAAAAAAATCCTCTACCTTCAAAGAGCAGTTAGCTCTGATTAAAAATATATCTAGCAAAGCAAGGGAATTCAGAGAGAAGCCTCGAAGCCTACAATGCGCTCTGCCATAATTCTCACCTTTCTGTTTTATAGCCTCCGTCAGGGCAGCTGCAGGCTTGGCTGCAGCTTTCCCCCCTCAACTCTCAGAGCGGTGGAATTTGGGGGATTAATGTTACATACCACTAGGTGTCCTGGCTCCGTTTCTTTTGATTGCCGCTTCAAGAAAAATATGGAAAATGCCTCCTGTTCGTCTGTTTTTCTTCCCCACCATAAACTGTATGGTCTCCTGGATGCTCCAGAGCCAGCCAAATGTACAGCATGTGGAAAACAACCTTGACGCAGTGACCGCAGAGCACAGGAGTGCTTCACATAGCTCACTGGTTCATCCTGCATGGAGAACCGTTATGTGGAGTAAAGTGTAAGTGTCATCCCGTGTACGATTCTCTCCGGCCTGGATTGCCAGCTCCAGCTGGTGGCCCGACCGACCACACATCTCCGCGGTTGCTAGTCACCCTTCTCGGCCAAGAGCGGAGCTAAGAGACTCCACCGCTGCCACCTGCCAACTCCCCAGCATTGGATGTACTTCAGATGCACAGGCTACAGAGTCTGCTATGTACTTGTTTCGTTACGCGAGTCATTGGTCAGACCCCCTCCGTGCCCAGTTTGGTAGGAACGGTACAAAAGCGGCCCAGTCCAGTCAGGCCGACGTCCAGGCATTAGCATCTATCACTTACCTGGTGGAAGGGCTCCGATGGAAGAAGGGCAGATCTGTAGGAGCTACAATATGGATAAACAGGGTTTCAATAGTCTCCACCTAACACTAGACAATTGGAGTTTGTCTCTTTTTTGGTTTTTAAATAAATAAATAAATGAGAAGTCAGCACTCATAAAGGAAACTCCTCATTGGGTTTGTCTTCAGTGCAGCAGAGGAGTACAGAAACCCCAAAGCCTCCTCTGGACATAATAGCTACCTCGCTATAGGCTTCAGAAGAAAGGCCATGAGGCCAGAGGGCAAGTCCCTGTTCTTCTCTTTCCTATTGCAAGGCCTGTACTGCGGATAAATGAAGCAAGAAGATAACTGGGCACATATTCAGGAGCCCTGAAGGAGCCGTGTGAAACCCTTCCGCAGGAACAGGTAGTGCTTGGCCAGCAATGATGACTTACTTCACTTTTCAGCTGGCCCTTAGCACTGGGGTTTCAGTCCAAACATCCAGAGACAAGAATCCTTCCAAGTACTTGATACAAGGACAAAGGTAGAAAGGAAACCCAAACCATCGTCTAGTAATAAACCCCCATAAAGGTCTAGTACTGCTCGCCAATATTGAATAATCAATGAAGAATGTTTTCCTGAGCCTTTCATATATCTGTGGTTTTGTAGTCCTATAACGGGTTGTAGGCAGCTTGGGTATATCCTGAGGGGGAAATGAAATGTGAGCGCCTGCACTAACTTGGATGTTTAGCATGCATTAAAGACAGACATTTCTAAAACTTAGCAACAGGCTGTGTTGTGATCTATAATATGCAGAAACGAGCCTTAGCTTTGCTCAAAGAGTATAAATGAGCCTTACTATAAAGATACTGTGTGGTATATACGGCTTCTTATCAGAGGATGGGTGTTTTACCAGCCTGGGAAGACCAACTCTGTGGCGGTTGGCGAGCTAGAGGGGCTGCGGCACCTGGAAGCAGCGATTTGCCGTGAGACAGAGCGGGGAATAGATCAGGGGCTGCTCAATATCAGTTCCCTGCTACAAATGCCCAACAGAGCTGCCTCCTCTACAAGTGTGCTTACAAGGTAAACGTGCCCACCGAGTATGTTGTTTGGATTTTAAGCATCTGGCTGTGAAGCGCCAAGTTCGTTACTGCTTCATAACTTAATACAAGAGTGAGGAGAGGAGTGTTCAGTTCTCCTCTGTCAGAGTGAGCGTGCAAGTTGTACGTCTTTGATAGCGGTACTTGGTTATTGATCCATAAAAGGGGTAATATCTCTATAACACTATTTGCATGAAATAAAGATGTTGTCAGCTTCAATTAACTAGCAATCTATTATTAATCCTTGCCAACACCTGGGGAATTCCTTGGTTTAAATTGCCCTGGAAATTGATCTCTCGCGATTTGCCTTGGGTAGCAGTAAGAAAGCCCGGTGAAATGGGTTGTGCCAAATACTGTAATTTGTAGGTAAGGTTTTAGTGGGAAATTAACGTATCAACACTTTTCCTCATCTGCATGGAAACCTGGCCTGGGACAAAGGGCGACCCAATCCAAACAGCAGCTTGACTTCACGTTTGGCATTGAGCAGCCTCAGTGCAAGACAAGGCTGAGATACTGCTGCGTTGTTCACTAGCCTCCGTTTACACTTATCCAAATTTCTCCTGTCTGCAAAACAAAGTTCACCCGGGAGGTCCCTCCCCTCTTGTTAGCCTGGTAGAAATCTGGCACTAGGAGCCACAGCGCTTCTGGTCAGTGCTGGATTTCCCCCCCAGGAGTGCCCGCGCAATGCAGGACACGCTGTTTCACGTGGGCTCCCGTGAGTACAGGGGCGGAGCGCGTTGAAACCTTCCCAGCTCCGGCCCTGCTCTTAGGCAGCTGTGGGTTTGGAGGGGGGGGTTTGGAAGAGGCAGTCTCTTCCCTCTCCGGCCGCATCCTCCGTTGGCAGGAGTAGTTGCAGGAGGGGGTTCAGGCCTGGGGCTTGCGAGCGTGGGATTTCTTCTTTCCTGCGCAGGACTTGGGGAGCGGCAGCGTAACGGCAGGTTATGTTACTACTAGCATATTAATGCCCTGGGAAGAGCTGCCAAGGGGAGCTGCCATTCCGCGTGAGTAGGTGCGAGCGTCGTTCAGTGGCTCCCCCCGGGTACTCACC